CATGAACAATGAAACGACGCCGTCCATATCTTACGAGAAATTTCCAGAAGAAATTTGGACTTGCGGAACAATCCTTCTTCTTCTTCAAGAACAGTGGGTTGGGGAGTTGTGTAGGAGAGCAGAGCTCACAGCTCTCAGAAGACCTCCTTGCTCCCATGTGCTCGTATGTGTAATTATTCGTACTACTCTTTGGACATTGAAGATACTACAATAACGGATGGAATTTTATGCAGAGGAAGGAAAAAAACTAGACGAAGCATGTTCTCTTCCCCTAGCTCCCAGGGTTTCATTTCAATTCCCTTTTAGATTTGACTTACTGATAATCTTTCCTTTTCTACAAAAAATGCTAACTAGCCGGCGCTGTCCGTCGGGAACGTCGGACAGTTGGCGGTGGACCTACTGATATCGTCATTGAGAGCTGAGAGAATCGGTTACTTTGACGATCCTAACGTTCTGCCCTGCGTCGGCAACAACGCTTATGCGCCTTCTCCTCCCGGCGATCTCTCCCTCCCTCTCGAAGGTCTCGTTCGCCGTTCCCTCTTATACTGAGTGCTGCATTTTCTATGCTCTTTGTCTTAAAATGGACGAGGAATTTGAGAATGAAAGTACTATTTATTTGCTACTTTTCTTCTGTCTACGTATTTTGTTTGGGTTATCTGCGAAGCAATTCCGACTATGACTGGTTTGAGTCTGCAGCTTTTGATTCGTCCTCCAACCGATTGACTCTTGTACAGCAGAGGTCTCCAGTTGTAAAGGTAATACGCGTTGAATTAATTTATTTGGGAAGAAGCAGATGAAATAGAGATGTTTATGAAGCGTAATTGTGCTCCTTTAGATGATGAACTAATCATTTTGAAGTGGGAGAGGAAAATGTAAAGAGCTTTTATAGGCAAAATTTTGGGAAAATTGCTTTGTGTTAATTTCGCACTTACACGGTACAAAATGTGCAGGAGCTTTGTAACTAGCGTCTGCGCAGTGTTGTTGGGCGTTTGCTGGCAAACTTTCTTTTGATCTCTTATTGTCCTTCTGCTTTATGATGGTCGTTAACCCTTTCAGACTGATTGAGTCCTAAACTGCTTATGGAACAGGGTATGATGGTTGAATTTGCTAAGAATCTGGCAAATGTTGCAGCCAGAAATGGAAAGAAGCATGTCATTGTCCTCTCCAGCTTGGATTTTAAGCAGTGGCAAAACATTGATATGTCAAGGTACTGATCAGTTAAGTCTTTGTTAATTAGTAACTCTAGTATGCGTCTGTCTCTGGATTTTCTAGACGAATTTGGAAGTTATCTATTTATTGCCATCCAGAGTCATTGGTATCCAATGCTTGGACATTCTTGGATTTGGTGACTAATTGTAGGATTTTGGAAATTATCAAAATCATATTACAAAAGAACTCTTCTCCTTAGATCACTTTTTCATGCTCTTGCCATGCATTTGCGTCCTCTTTTGCTTCCCATGTTTTCAATTTTAAGTAGCTTTGAAGGATTTCACGTACATGAATGCCCATATTAGCTATAACCGTAGAAGTTACTCATACAAATCCCAGCTTTTAGTGTGTTATGTCATTAAATTTGGCCAGATAAATCCTTCTTTCTTTCAAGGCCTCTAGTCTTTATATTCAACCTGATATAACAGTCTCCTCCACCCCTTGGGGGCATCTGTATTTTCCCGTTCTCATGTTCTTTGCAAAAGATATTTGAGGCATTCTTTGATTAGTTTATGGGATATTTTGATTGTTTATCTCCCCCTATCTCTCGTCTCATGTGCTTCCCTTGTGTCACTTCCTTTCTTTGGGGCCCATTCTTACTTCAAGCTTTTAATAATGATGAATAATTAGGAACTTATCAATCAGAATTCTTTGCCAGGCGGTTAGTAGATGTTTCACTTGCTCTTGATAAATGATCTTCAAATCTTGGTGACTGAACTGTAGAATATTGTCGTAGAGACAATTCTGCCTAAATGCATGTTTGAAGTGCTTTTGTCTATGGTTTATTTGCTCAAGGCTCAAGGATGCTTAGAAGCCAGAAGTAAACATTCCTATTGATCTCTCGTGCTTTACTGCAGTGGTTTGCAGATATATTACCTGTCTAGTTCCAGCACAGATGGGACAGATGAGGACTGTGAAAAACATGGATGGAAGAGACTACCGGAATATAATCCAGCTCACAAGAGGTGGGAATATCTTAGTTCCACTATTGAAGAAAATATTGTTCAAGATGATGATTTGCTCTTTGAGGATTTAAAAGAAGAAGATTACTATCCAAGTTTGCCTTTTGCAGCACTATTTTCTTGTTTTAAGGTAAAGAAATGCAGAACCATCATTCGAATGAGAATCGATTAACTTTCCTGACGTCTTTACGTGTTATAGCTTGGATTTGTTGTTATATTGAATTGTAGGTTGGTTTTTTTGAACTTATGGTAAAGGAAATTGGACAGTAAACAGCTCATGCATTTGATTTTAATGCTCCAGAAACGAAATGTTATCTCCAGTCTCCGCAAGATGATATCTATCTTAAAGGTTCACATATATTCTCTGGGTATTTTGTTTCTCATGTCACACAAACTAGTCGTTGATATGATATCATATAGTTTAGGGCCTCCTATGTCTCCATCAGTCAGCTAGCCACTATTTAACTTCAGAATTATTAACTGAACATAATTACCCTCCCAGTTTCTTTGGATCAGGAAAAATGTATAATGTAGGTGAAGAGATGTTATGGAATTTTGTTGATATGATATCATATAGTTTAGGGCCTCCTATGTCTCCATCAGTCAGCTAGCCACTATTCAACTTCAGAATTATTAACTGAACATAATTACCCTCCCAGTTTCTTTGGATCAGGAAAAATGTATAATGTAGGTGAAGAGATGTTATGGAATTTTGCTGCTCCTATCACTGCTTGCGATCCTTACTTTCCACCTCACAAACTTGAACCTAAGAAGAACTGCCTGAATGTTAGTTAAGTATCTAGATTATCAAAGGAGAGCAATCTGGAAGCCTTGGGGGGGACATCACTCTTTCAGCATATCTTTTCATTTTATTGATTAATATGGAGCTGTGCTGGTCCTTCATTGCCTTTGTCGTTTTGGATCTTTATGGGTGTAACTTTGTGTGATGAAAGTTTATGTTCTGTTGGGGTAGGCCAAAGGTTTAAAAGTGACTTGTTTACTTTGCTATTGCTCGGAGGGAGACAATATACCTGATGCTTTCCAATTGGCCGAGGCAGCGAGCAAAATCTTGATCCAAAGCCCGAATGATTTTGAAGGTGAGTTTGAAGATTGAAAGCAAGGCTTGCTTCATTTTATTGTTACATCTGTTTCATCAGTGGTGACTTATGCTAGTTAAGTCTGGCGCATTTCATTTCCTGTAAGAAAAGATGATAGATGGAATGCTATCTAATACTTCCTCGATTGTATTATAGGTAATTTTGGTGTTGAGATTATGTTTATTTATCAATGCCACTGCCAAGTTGCAACACTTACAAATGCTTTTCGTCTTGAGTATGCAATACTACTGACTTGGTTGACTTAATCTGTTCAGGTACTGGAAGTGGTAGATGGATTGTTCCCTTCTCATGGAAGAGCGTGTATGGACCACCCCCAGATACATCTCTGTTTTAGGCTGCTCCTGGGTAGTGTTGTCTATTGTTTTGATTTTATGTTGGGTGTCTTTACATGGGGCCTTGAGACTTACATGTCTTGGTATGCCGACTTGCTAATATCTTCTCTGCTTCTATATTTAGCTAGGCTGTCAGCTTCCTGTTTTCTTTCTTTAGAGGAGATGTAATTTCATTCCTGTCCGGCTGTCCCATACCAGTGTATCATCTTTCACCTCCAAAGTAGAAGCACTCTGCATAAATGGCTGCTTTAACGTTTTCCTCGGTACTGTACTGTATCTATATACATCTGAACCGAATATGCAATCGAAATTACTATAGTCAAGAGTTTGTAACAAGTATTCTAAACGGGTCATGTCCTGATGTTGGGTTATATACATTGAAGATGGAAATACACCAAACTTGGATGGTTTGACCTAAAAGTTGGAGAAATTTTATACCAAAAGAGAAACCCGAAAAGAATTTGGCTATGAACTTTCAGATGCCGGTACAAAATGGTTGAACTTAAGACGCGTGACATCATACATACCACATACCATACGTGTGATTTTATGAAAGTAAATAACTGCCTTTATGTGTGTATAAATAAATTAGTAGTAACTGTTTTACTCGTAAACCAAATGTATATATATTAATACGCGCAGACTATGAAATTTTAATAGCTAAACGTTAAACAAAGGAGTACATATTCTCTCTGTCTGATCTGATGTACTAAACTACTTTGAGGCCCTTATTTTTGACATCCAATACACACACTCAAGGCTCTTACGTGTACATTACAATCACCTCAATATATTCTTGAAGCCGAGTAGCTGTGGACGACGGAACAATTTATGATCTTGGATTTATATTAGAAATGAGTTTTGAGTCCCAAATTCACAACCAAACAATTGACATGACAGGCGGTGGCGAACGGAATTTCACACAAGTACAAACTCATTTTTTTTTGGGTTTTGGTTCCTTTGGTAAATCGTGACGAGTGCACGTATGTCTTCGTTGAAACTTGCAATCAAGGTGTTGTCGGATTGATTACTAGTGTACTTTTAAAACATTTGAGGTCATTGAACTATTATTGTCTTCTATGATCTGAACCCTGAAGAAGCAAGACTTTCGTATCTGTGACTCGTCTCCCTTTCCAACTCCCATATATATCTTCGCACTATGGGGTACAGGTTGCAAAATGATGGCCACTTGACCGGGACAGCGCGCTCAAAATTGAACAAGGAACAGCTCAAATTTGAAAAATAATAAAAATGTTTCCTGTATTTGATTTTGTTAATTAAGCTTTTCAGCTTGTCAACTGATGATTCTTTCGATTTACATTCCCTATATATACATACCTTTGTTGATCACCATTTTCAAACTTACTAATCAAACCAATCTTTGCCTTGCTAAGTATACACTGCAGTGAACAATGTCGTCCTCTTCCTCCAATCATTCTTCCTCATCCAAACCTAACCCTTCATCGAAGAAAACCCTCCCATTACGAGATATTCCCGGTGGCTACGGCTTACCCTTTTTTGGACCCATAAAAGACAGACGAGACTACTACTACAACCAAGGTACAGATGAATTCTTCAAGAGCCGAATGCAAAAATATAACTCCACCGTCTTCAGAACCAACGTTCCACCAGGGCCTTTCATGGCCAAAAATCCCAAGGTTGTGGCAGTCCTGGATGCCGTTAGTTTTCCAATTCTTTTCGACAACTCTAAAGTTGAGAAGAAAAACGTTCTGGACGGCACATTCATGCCTTCCACTGACTTCACCGGTGGCTATCGCGTATGTGCCTTTCTCGATACCCGTGAGCCTTCCCATGCAGCCGTCAAAGGTTTTTTCTCATCCCAACTCGCCAAGTTACACAACAAATTCATCCCAACCTTCCGCAGCTCCGTTTCTGAGCTGTTCGCCAACCTTGAAGGTGAGTTGGATAAGGAGGGAAAGGCGAATTTCAACCACCATAGTGATAAGATTTCCTTTGACTTCATCTTTCGTTTGTTTTGCGATAATAAGAACCCTGATGAGACAGGTGTCGGCTCGAGTGGACCAAAAAGTTTCGATAAGTGGCTTTTTCTTATGCTTCACCCACTCATAACGCTAGGGCTGAAATTCGTACCGACTTTCGTCGAAGATTTTTTGTTACACTCATTTCCATTGCCATTTTTGTTTGTGAAATCCGATTATCAGAAGCTGCATGATACCTTTGACAAGTATGGGAGCGGAATATTGGATGAATCTGAGAAATATGGAATCACAAGGGATGAAGCCTGTCATAACTTGGTTTTTCTTGCAGGTTTTAGTGCATATGGAGGCACGAAGGTCCTATTTCCTGCTTTGATCAAGTGGGTTGGCGCTGCAGGTGAGGATTTGCACCGACAACTTGCTCATGAAATAAGAACAGTTGTCAAGGAAGAGGGAGGAGTTACGGTTTCAGCATTGAACAAAATGAGCTTGACCAAATCAGTGGTCTACGAGGCACTGAGAATCGAACCTCCAGTGCCTTTTCAATATGGAAAGGCCAGGGAGGACGTCGTGATCAGTAGCCATGATTCGTCTTTCTTGATCGAGAAAGGTGAAATGATCTTTGGGTATCAGCCATTTGCTACCAAAGATCCGAAAGTGTTCGACAATCCTGAAGAATTTGTGGGGGATAGGTTTTTGGGTGATGGTGAGAGGTTGCTTAAATACGTGTATTGGTCTAATGGAAGAGAGACCGATAACCCTACCGTGGATGACAAACAATGCCCTGGAAAGGACTTGGTGGTGCTCCTGTCTAAGCTATTGTTGGTTGAGTTCTTTCTCAGGTATGATACATTTTCGGTCGAGGCTGCCACCATCTTGTTGGGTCCCCTGGTTACTGTGAAGTCTTTGACCAAGGCCGACTGAATTTATCACGTATCAGTTCATTCAGACAGAGCTTGATAATTAAGCAGCCTTATTGAATATTTCAAAACTAATTAGTTTCACTGATTTGCTCATGATTCTTGGGGTGAAGTAAGCGGTGTTCTTGCATTTCCATTTTCTTTGTAAACATGTTTGTATCTTGATCTCATTTGTTGGCTGTCTAGCAGTAATAGCACTTCCGATAATGTTGGTACGTGTTTATCAACATTGTCATGTTTGTTGATTTCTGCACAAGGTGCCCCGCCACTTCTTGTTTGGTGCCCCGCTACTAACATATGCATAAAATATGCAGGAAGACCATAATCAAATCAATTCATATCAGCTCAAAAAGGTATCAAAAGTTGCTTAATCTTCTAAAAAAGGGGGAAATAGAAAGAATCTAATTAAAAGCTGTTTAACCTTCTAAACGCCCGCTAGTTAGGTTTACCATGTTATGTAATACTTCTCAAAAATTTAAAACATTAGTGGTTAAGATTCAAATGACCAAGATTTTTCCAGTAAAGATCGAAGTATATATGGTTATTTTTTTCCGTATCTTTTTTGTATAACTTGGTGGGAAAAGACAACCTTTTACCAGTGTGGTTTTTTTGTAGCTGTACCTTTCCCCCGCCTGTTAGAACTTCAGGAATTGTTAGGCCCAGAATGAGAGTCTCAAAATCTGAGGCATTGGGCAGGTGAGTGCCCTTTAAACGCATCAGTTTGAAGAGAAGCACTCGGCCAAAATGGGCTGGCCCGACTGTACATCTTTGAACTCTAATGTAAACCTCAATCGTTTTTTTGGGTTGCTTTGTTCATTCACTTTTCGATATTAATCTTTTTTTTTCTGCAAACGGTAACAGCTTTATATATATATATATATATATAAACAATTGATATTACAAGAATTAATTATAAAAAGGCCACAACTCTCACTTCCTTCTTTGCTATATCTATCAGCCGTACTGGAAATCACATTCCCATTCTGTATCGTGAACTAGCTTTACAGCAAATTGATGAGTCTGTGCGTGGCTGCATTCATTTTCTGATCTAGGTACAAAAGAAAAGCAATAGTAGTATTCAAAGTCTTGTTTTAAGTCCTGAATGCCTTCCAGTACAGCTGCAAATATTGCTGTCATGCACAAATCTGGTCCACTACTGATTTGCAGTGTAAGTTAACCTTTATTTTGGTCCACCCTGCATCCTTTGTATGTATTTGGTCTGCGCCCAATGCTTTTCTGCTTATCAGCCCTTTCAATTCAGACTTACTGCCGTATGATTGCTGACAAACCATTATGCCATGTTCGTTCAAAATGCGGGCCTTCAAGAAAAAGTACAATTGGTATCTTTGATCCATTCGCGAATCTGATCCATGCTGGTGCTTTCCTTTTGTGAAAACAATAATGGCAGTATGGAGAAGTATATAAGCAAAGAATGCAAAATTGCATCTTCGCTCAAAATCGTTTTTTCTTTTCTGCATGGGGTTAAAATCAAAAGAGTCCTCTATTTAGGAGTTTTTAATTTATTGGGTAACGATACGATTCAATTATGTATCACATGGGATCTTCTTTACCCGTCTCTCTCTCTCTCTCTATATATATATATATATAGAAGTATATAAGCAAAGAATGCAAAATTGCATCTTCGCTCAAAATCGGTCTTTCATTTCTCCATAGGGCTAAAATCAAAAGAGTCCTGTATTTAGGAGTCTTTAATTTATTGGATAACGATACGATTCAATTATGTATCACATGGGATCTTCTTTACCCGTCTCTATATATATATATATATATATATATAGAAGTATATAAGCAAAGAATGCAAAATTGCATCTTCGCTCAAAACCGGTCTTGCTTTTCTCCATAGGGCTAAAATCAAAAGAGTCCTCTATTTAGGAGTCTTTAATTTATTGGGTAACGATACGATTCAATTATGTATCACATGGGATCTTCTTTACCCGTCTCTCTCTCTCTTTCTCTCTATATATAGAAGTATATAAGCATAGAATGCAAAATTGCATCTTCACTAAAAATCGTTCTTTCTTTTCTCCATGGGGCTAAAATCAAAAGAGTCATCTATTTAGGAGTCTTTAATTTATTAGGTAACGATACGATTCAATTATGTATCACATGGGATCTTTTTTACCCGTCTCTCTCTTCCTCTCTCTCTCTCTCTATATATATATATATATATAGAGAGAGAGAGAGAGAGAGAGCGCTTGAAATGCCACATGACTTGTGTTGTTCATTTTTTGAATGAGACTAGTGAAGAATAATTCGTTTCATTCACGTCGTTTTGTCCAAAAAAATCACCAATCTCGATTAAACTACAAAGCCTCGTTTTGTTTGGAAAATAGCAACCCAAATGAGTTACTTTTTTGGAGTTTTCACTGCAAGTCCCGCTGCCCACTAACTCGCCTCGCCTCGCCCCGCTTTCTATGCGGGACTAATAAAAATTTATAATATAATTTTATTATAATCAAATTTTAATAAATAATTAAATACTAAAATATCAACACCAAGTTATTATTCATTATAATTTTACAGTTGAAATTCATAAAAACGATTAAATAAAAGTTATTTGAATATAATTCAACATGATAAAACAAATACAACTAAAGTAGTCAAATTTTCACTTTTTACATAAATACAATCACCAAGTCATTATTTATGCTTTTTTTTATATAAAAAAGTATTATTGTGTTAAGTATAATTAGAAATTTAATATAAATATATTAGTAAATTTAGTATAACTAATTAACAATTTCTATTAGTAGATATGTATAATAATTAGTATAATTGATAATATCAATTATATTACATATACTAATATATATTATATAATATATATAATTAATAATATCATTATCATAAATTTGTAACTCATTAAATTAAATATTATATACATATTTATATATTTATTAAATTTTTTTAACGAGTGATGGGACCCCACCTTCCACCCCATTTCTAAACATGGGAAAAAATTTCCCCAACCCATTAGCCCCACGAGCATTCGTCCCAATTGCCATCCCTATTTCCAGAGAAATTTCTAAAATTATGATGAATTTTTAAAAAATTCTACAAAGGGGGCATTTTGAGTGTGAGATTCCGTCCAAAGGGTCTTCGCATTCAGTAAATGCGAGCTCCTAAATGCGAAGTCTCTTGAATTTTGTGACCAACGAAATGCAAAAAAAAAAAAAAAAAGGAGGTCACAGACCTCGCATTCGATAAATGCGAGGTCAGGGTTCTACATGTTGTATTACGTGACCACACAATACGCGACCTCATGGTCACGTATTGTTGTCGCGTTTTCTGCACAGGGGTTGCGGAGTGTAATACGCGACGTAATGGTCGCGTATTGTGGTCATTTTTTTTTTTTTGCAGGCGCGGATTGTAATAAGCGACTTTGTTGTCGCGTATTATGGTCGCGTTTTTCAATTTTCTGCAGTTTCTGCAGGAATTCATGCACAACCAATTTTTTGACTATTAACCCCAAAATCCAACAATGCATTTTAAATCATTTCTTTACTAATTTGTACCTTACATGCACATGCAAAATGATAAATACATGCATTCTACCCTTTTTAACGGATCAAAAACACCTTTAACACAAATTGAGGGGTTGAGTTGATGGATCAAATTTCGCCTTTTCCACCTCAAATGCTCATCTTGATTTCCGGTTATCAAACCTACAACAAAGAAATAACAAACCAACTTAAATGCATGTTGTAAACATACAATCATACCAGATTAACACATGCAACTTAAAACATTGGGTTGTCTCCCAATTACCGATTTTGTTTATAGTCGTTGGCTCGACTCAAGGGTTCGGATTCTTAAGTTGAATAAGAATCACCCAAAAGACATAAAAGTCCTTTGAAATTGATTTCACCGGCCAAATGCATGTAGTTTTAATCGTTGTCCATTGACCTTGAACAGTTTTTTTTTTTTTTTTTTTTTTTGCATTAACTACCTCGACTGTTCCATAAGGAAACACTTGAGTAATTTCAAACGGTCCTGACCATATGGATTTGAGTCTTCTCGGAAACAATCTTTAAAAATTCACATCAAATGCTCACCTTTCAAAATTCATTCTCCGTAAATTTATAAAATAACAAGCAAAACCCACACTCAAAAGAAAAACAAAAACAATTTGCTTGAATTTATAAAAAACAAAAAAAATGATGAGCTTGAATTTATTAATATTAAAAAACCAAAAGGTCTGAAGCAAAATTCATTCTCGCATATGTTTGCCTGACCTCGCATTTGTCAAATGCGAGGTCTGAAGCAAAATTTTTTTTTTTTAGATTTTTGCAAAATCAGAAATTCAATAATAAATCGCATTTGCCGAATGCAAACTCACTGAGCTCGCATTCGACAAATGCGAACTACCTATTCTTAGAATCCCCAACACAAACAACCCTTCAAATAGAAAACTTTTTTTTTTTCATAATAGTTTTAGAATTTTCTCCCATTTCCATTAGTTTCATATTTTTTTTTTTAACCATTAGCTTCATTTGAAAACCAACAAAACGATGAGATTAGCGATTTTTTGGACAGTATGCGGTGAATTTTTTCTGGCTAATTAATTTACTGCCCCCGACTTCCCACAGCTCTGCTACTGCCCTTCTGGTACTCATAAAGTATCAAAATCAGTACAGAAATGAAAAAGATAAACAAAGCCACGTAGAAGTATACTAGCAAACAAATGCCACTAGTGTCTTTATAAATCTGATAGTTATTTTGGATATCATACTCTCTTCTTGTTGGATGGTAAAATTAGTGTTTTGACTCTTGAACTGTAATAGTTTGAATTATTTAGAATATTTGATCAATATTATCATTGAGAGAAACAATTTGAGGAATGCTTCCCTACAGGAACCATAAATGTTGTTAAAAAAAAATAAAACTTATTGACAGTTCAGGTTACAGTTGATGTAAATGGCTAATACACATATTCATTGAAACCAAACTGAACTAATCAGTTTGCTGTTTTAGTTAGATTTTTGTCACAATTTTGATTGTACTTTTGGTACTAGTCACAGAAAAGAATGCGTCCGAGGCTCGCATAGCAGCCGGGAACGATGAGTTATTTGTAAAAACGGGATTTGTCTTGAAATCTTATCATGACAGCTTTTCAAATCTTATCGCCATCTTAGCTTCCCTATTTCAGATTCATCTTTTCCTCCGTTTGATGTCACTTCACTTG